CTGTCCCCGAAAGAAGAAGTTTGCGGTTAAAAGGAGAAAGAGAAGAGAACGCTACGAACCTCTTGATCAATTCCCAACAAAGCATGGCACGTTTGCAATTACTGCCGCTTCGGCACTCGAATACAATAGTGGCTCCGGGCAGATTACATTCTGCAGGATCAACCCTCTTCCTATTTTGTCGCATTTTATTCACTTTACTTTTTTTCCGCGTAAAGTGCATCGACCAAACGCTGCACGATATGCGGGCTTTAACGAAATTCTGGGTGTCTCTCGCCAGGGTGGCTCTTTGGGAAAATATAGAAAATCCGTGGGCGAGGAAGTGCTTCGGGTTAGGTGAAATCTATGGTTTTTCAGTATGGGGTGGTTGAACATTGGGGAATTTGAGAATTGGAGATGAGAATTTGGAAATTTAAGGACTTCAGAATTTGGGGGTTTTATAATTGGAAGTTTGAGAATTCGAGGGATTGAGAATTTAGGGGCTTTACAATTTGAAAGCTTGAGAATTCGAGGGGTTGAGAATTTGGGGGTTTTACAATTTGAAAGTTTGAGAATTCGAGGAGTTGAGAATTTGGGGGTTTTACAATTTCAAAGTTCGAGAATTCTAGCGGTTAAGAATTTGGGGGTTTTACAATTTGAAAGTTTGAGAATTCTAGGGGTTGAGAATTTGGGGGTTTTACAATTCGAAAGTTTGAGAATTTGGGGGTTTTACAATTCGAAAGTTTGAGAATTTGGGGGTTTTACAATTCGAAAGTTTGAGAATTTGAAAGTTTGAGAATTCTAAGGGTTGAGAATTTGGGGGTTTTACAATTTAAAAGTTTGAGAATTTAGGGATTTTACAATTTGAAAGTTTGAGAATTCTAAGGGTTGAGAATTTTGGCATTTGAAAATTGGAGAAATTGAGAATTTACAAATTTAAGAATTGAAGATTTGAGAGTTTGAGTTTCGAGAACTTGGGGCTTCGGAAATTTTAGGATTTAATTTGAAGATTTAACAATTTGGAACTTTGAAAATACGAAGTGTTGAGAATTTCAAGATTTAAAAACTGAAAACACTGAGAATTAAAAAATTTAAGAATTGTGTTTGTATAGTTAAATCAGCTCGTCGTGATAATTCACCCAGCAATTCCACGAAACGACAAACCTAAGTACATAATCTCATAGTTCGAAAAGTTTGTCTTCCATCTGATCGTGGAGGGCCATCCGAAGTTTCTATCAGCGACAGAAACGCACGGCAGCAAGCAGCCGTTCCTCGTGATTTACGGCAATTGCCTCGCAAACTTGATTATAATGATGCAGGAACATGGCGTGCCGAATTACACGCGGAACCACGTTGCCGGACTTTCATTAAACGATAATCATCTTCCGCTCGGTTGTCGCGAAACAGCCGGAAAGAGGGGAACAATACGGCCTTTCCTGTATTGTCTCCGCGCTTTAGCCGTTTCGCCTTTTTATCGCGATTCGAACACTTTTTCTCTGTAAGCCTCGCGCAAAACAACTTGGCAGTGTTTCAGGAAAGGGAACGACTCGCAGAATTTGTTTTGGATTTAATTAACGCTAGAAGCACTTTTCACGGTGCTAAGGGGTTGATCGGTGATATTGCTCTTCCTGAACTTTTACCAACTTGTAAATTTCTGGGAGATAAGTTTTGAAGGAGAAAGGAGAAATTTTTATGGAAAGTTTCAATTTATCTTTTTACTTAAACATTCTATATGTAGAATCTGATGTTTGTATGCTTTTGTGTAACATTTAATATGTGTTGGTTCTATGCAGATGATGTATGTATCTGGTATATGTATGCTTCTATGTAGAATTTTATATGTGTATGGTTCTATGTGGATGACGTATACATCTGATGTATGTATGCTTCTATACAGAATTTCATATGTGTATGGTTCTATGTGGATGATGTATACATCTAATGTATGTATGCTTCTATATACAATTTCACATGTGTATGGTTCAACGTAGATGATGTATATATCTGATGTATGTATGCTTCTATGTAGAATTTCATATGTGTATGGTTCTATGTGGATGACGTATACATCTGATGTATGTATGCTTCTATATAGAATTTCATATGTGTATGATTCAACGTAGATGACGTATACATCTGATGTATGTGTGCTTCTATATAGAATTTCATATGTGTATGGTTCAACGTAGATGATGTATGTACGAGTCCATATATAATTTAACATACATGTGTTTCTATATAAAACCTAATGTATATATGATTTTATGTAAAATCTGATATATGTATACTTCAATGTAAATTCTAATAAACATACACATCCCTGCAGAACCTGATTAACATACAATCCCATGTAGAATCTAACTGCATATTCAATTCTATATACCCTCTGATTAATGTACGATTCTACATAGAAGCTTGCCATTAGTTTGAATGATTCAGCCGAAAGTTTCAGAAGATTGAACGTTCGAATGAAATCCACGATATCTTCGAGGAAGATGAAGGCACAATGTGCGAAGTGAACCCTAGCAGTACGACAAACTTGATTATTCATCGTATGACTGTCCCGCTGACAATCGTTCTTCTGTTTGCACTTATAATTACTGTTTGCGGAGCATTGTTCTTAAGCCTGGCGCTTGAAATGGCACCCCAGTTGATAAGTTACGGAATCACCGTTGAAATTCCTCCCCTACCGAGGGTGCTGGGTAAGACGAACAGGATTACGGGGTTACTTTCAAATTCTATGAATTTTTATTTTATATTTATGAAATATATTTTGTTACTGAAAGTATTGTTTGAAGTTCAATCAGGTGATATGATTTTCGCCCTTTGCACTCTTCGACCCTTTGCACTTTTTTCATGAGTCTCGTGACGCATTCGTGATCAATTTCATTCGAATTAATACGCTTTAATTTGGAGTTTAAGTTTCAAAGAATTCTCCACTTCCCAATTTCCAAAATTTAACCACCTCCAAATATCACACCCCAAATTTTCCACTTCCCAAATTCAAAAACTCAATTTCTCAAATACCTAAACTCGAAAATTCAAGAATTTTAAAACTCCCCCATACTCCTGCCCCCACGCCCCAACTCCACTGATTTACAAAAGAAGATAATTCAACAACCAGTAACAGAATTAGTGAAAAAACCCGGTGACCCTCGCTGTTGATTCGATTATTCGTTTTCCCGAAGCGTAGGAGGTGATTCGCGCGTGACATTCGCGGACCAACGTTTTCCTCGACAAATTTCATGCGCACGCTCCGCGGGCTTAATGATCTGATTAGAGATACAAGAGGGTTCCACGGGCTGAGATATGAAGCCGATTTAAGCTTTTCGAGGGAGACGAATCGAGCAAGCGAGGGATTTTCTCCAACGCCTGGCAACACCCTCTCTTCCTTCCTTTGCCCTGACTCGCTTCCTTTTGGTCCTTCCAAACTTTCAAACTAACTGCGCTCTTCTTAGGGGCAGCGTCCAATTGTTTTCTATCGCGAAAGCCATCTGCAGGAACGCGGAAGGCTTTAATGAAGATTAATTGCTAATTACTCGATGCCAAAGTTCATCGTCCCTCTTTGTATGCCGTTTCAAGGGGAGATTCGCGTTTCGATTATTTACTGTCATAGGAGATTACACTTTTTCAAAATTAATTTTTTGCAAACTTAATATTTACATTTTCTGATTTTATAATTTTTAGGATTTTGGAAATTCTTTATTTAGAATTTTAGTTTAGTATTATTCTTAATTTAGAATTTTAATTTACGATTATTCTTAATTTAAAATTTTAATTTACGATTATTCTTAATTTTTCGAATGCTTAATTTTACTAAATCAACTTTGCAAACTTCGATACAAATTTCCAAATTTTTAAGGATGCAAATTATGAAGTTCTCAAATTCTCAGATTTTCAAATTTTTAATTTCAGCAAATTCTTTAAAATGTCCACTTCAACATCACAAGTTAACATTTCTTTTATGGAGGATTTCAGTACATATTGGATGACAAAAAATAAGCTCCACGAATAAGTTGATTGTCTCACCGTACTCAGCCCACGCTTATACTCCTCTCTGATTGTGTATATTCGAAAGTTCGAGGATGTTAATCGGCTTAAAACTCCATCCCGCCAAAGTTTACAGTTTACTTTAACTTTTAATACGCTCCCGAAACGATTATGAAAATGATCTTCGACGGATCGGAACATCCGAACGGCTTTAATCAAAGATAAACCATCACCCTTTATTAACGTTGGGTCGTTGATAATATTTCATGTCTTCTCCTTATCCCATTATTCTACACTTTAGTTTCTCAGTAACTTTTCTATTTTTACTTAATGTTTAACGGAGTTAAGTTAATTGTATTATGCAAATAATTGAACTTGAATTGAATTTGAAAATTTGACGATTTATAAATTTGAAACCATAAAAAATGAAACTTCCAAATATCCAAAGTGCCAAGCTTGCCTACAGTTGCCCATCGATGTTATACATAAACCTGTACACATACTGAATCGTTACTTTAAAACAGGGGTTGCATCAAACAAGGGTTGGAAGTTTTATTGGTTTATTCCGCGCTTCTTCTAAACCGTTCAAACATACAGTTCGCATAATCTAACTATTTGTCTTCGTGAAAAACTTTCATTTTATCTCTTTATCAAGTTAACTTGATCATAAATATACCAAAGAAAATTGTTAGAAAATTATTTTCTAACCGTATGAAAATACGATTATTTTTGTCTATCATTTATACATCTATAGAAAAATGTATATGTATGAAAATATTTTTGACGATGGTAAAAGAAGCTTTGAATTTTATTTATCCAACAAGCGTTTCAATTACACTCGATTATATCGAAGCTTAAAGTATTAATATTTCACAGTAGAATTACTGCGCTGGGAGCTATTGGATCGTGTATAACAACGATACGTTCTCGTAAAGAGATTGAAGCGAATAGTTCACGAAGCTCGTTCAATTACAATCTTTTTCGACGTGAATTAAAATTGGACTGCTCCTTCAAGCGAATTCGATTTGTTTCAGGATGGAGGAGACGTCACGGGGGTTGCTGCAGCACAAGCACAGGGCTGAACAGCTGAAGCAAGAGAAAACCGCGCTCACGCTTTCTTACGAGGTAAGTCGATCGTTTGAACGGATTTTACTGAACTTCATACCTTTATTTATTCGTCTGGAATAATAATTGTCGTTTCTTTAACCACTCTTTCCCCTACATAAATCTATTTCTAACTTAAAATTCTTAAAATGTCATATGAGGCGTGTACTTCAGACTTTTACTTATTTGTTCAATATTTTATAAAATAAATTATGAGTACATATATTTTGTTTAGAATAAATAATAGACAATACAATTTATTTATTTGATAGACATTTTTAATTTTGGAAACTTACGAGCTGAAGTAGATTTTAAATTATACACAAATCTTGAACACTGCTGTTGGAAAAATGTGGTTACTTCGAATGCAAATCAACTTTAACGTTCAATAAATAATTTTAATGCAAATTTTATTATCCAAGAGTAATCAGGTACAAATATTAAAAACATCAGGAACACAGAGACAAAGTGAACTTCTCAAAAATGTTCAACAGGCGATTTCATTAGACAAATTAATATCGAATACACCCTATCAAGGGCCCATTAAAAGTTCCGATTCGAGAAGCGATCTCGATTGGTCGATAATTGGTAGTATTTCGTGTCGCATCGAAACACGGATCCCTTTTTATTCGAACGGAGCCACGATTTCAATTCCACGGAGTGTCGTTCTCCTTAAATTTATACTCGTTCGAGTGGTTCATCCGATTTTAGCCTGCCACCCCGAATGAGGACAAAATGAAAGGCGGAACATCCCCCTTGATGTCGCCCCTTGATCGCGTTGTCGATAAGCACGAACAGAGATAACGAAGAGGCTGTCGAATTCTCTCGATCGAATAATCAAACGTTTATTATTATTTTTTTTCTTACCAGAATACAATGACATTCGGGTAAAAATGCTCTTTATCTAGTCCGATAAGAGGCAAGTTATTCTGTTTCAATTCGAGCACAAATTTTTAGTAACTACAGTAAGATTATTAAATAAAAATTTGTATATTCATGATACATGAAATTTTTATATTCTTTTCAAATTCTTCGACTTGCAAATTTTCTACGAATTCCTACTAAATAAATTTCTACTAAATTTACCTGATCTGATAACAGTGCATGATTATACATTTTTTTAGTTTCAAAAGCTCTAGAAACGCGTCAGCAAATTTCTCGAGTTTCCAGTCGTTCATCCCTCGCGCAATATAACCGCTACTTTCGCGGTGTATTTGCGAACGACCAATATTCCTGACTTAACGAAGTAACATGGCACGTCGCTGCAACGAAAGGGAGAACGGTAAACGGCCGCGTTTACTGCGAACCCTTAGAATGTACGCACTATCTCGTTCACGGCCGGTTTGCTTCTAAAAGAGTCGTAGATTCAGAGAGCGGAGGGGTGTGCATCACTGCCCCACGAAATACCGTTTATTATCGATCGTCACTCGATCCCCTGGTTCAATGTCGTGCCACCCCAGCCCCTGAGAATCCCTCTATCGGCCATGAGGAAGCACGCCTGCAAGTGTTCTGTAGCCGTTCGATTTTACTTTCGAAACGAGAACCAAACTTCCCCCTTCCTCTATCGACCCTTGTACATCCTTTGGAAAAAGTTACTTCGAGACTGTGCCCTATAATTTTACGTGACGGCAAACGAGAACTGTCTACCAAGATAATTGAAAAATAAAACACCGAGACGATAATATTGACCAAAATCATGTCATTGTGTTTACGTTGTGTTCTCTGCTGATTCAGATAGAATTATAATAATTCATTATACACGCATAAAAATTGAGAACTCTCACAGGAAAGTCTAAAAAAGTAAACTGTAATTTTGTGATTGTACAACTTAAATTCGCTCGTGTACTTAGAAATTCCAACATTCACCCACTACGGCAGGGGTGAGAACGTTAACTACCTTGGCAATAAAAAAGGCGATAATACTACGAGAGTTTGTTGTACTTAAGAATAAAGTATTGTATTAAACTACTATAATTACAACGCAAAGTGAACCGAAAGTTAGCACGATCACAGTTGCACCTGTACGAAATTAACGGCGTCCAAAGCGCAGCTGGTGTGAGGGACATACGTCGTTTCGCAATTAGATTAGAAATTTCGCGATGGCGATGCGTGCAATTTAGAGACACAGTGGCAAGACCGCCTAGCAACATGATGTGTGAGGATAAATTACAGCCAGAGGAGTCGGAGGTGCGAGGTCGCGCGACGACGAGGCAGATGTTCAGCCACCGGGCGAATTCCAAGAAGAGGCCACACAGTTTGTATTTTTATTTTTCTCCCTGCTCGCTGGATGACAGAAAATCGTTGGACTCCCTTCACTTTTAGAAGAAGGGGGTGTAGACATTAAGCAAGGGCCGGCTGGCTGGCACGACTGTTATAAATCAGACACACGCACCCTCTATTAGCACCCCTGTCTCCGACAGGTCTCCACAGCCCTAATTTAACGTTAAACGCTTTTCTGCTAATAACGGCCGTTCGCGTTATTAACTCTCGCCACGAGCTGCAGCTCTTGGAAAAAACGGTGCATCTGTACAGAAATAATCGGCTCGGTTTACCTATGTTATCGATTATAAATAACCTTTGAACTGAACTACAGATCTTGACACTTAAGTATCTTTGTTTTAATGCATTCGACCAGGTGATGTTTAACCTATCGTCACATGATGTTATGCAACATGAAATGGTACAGTATGAAAAATTAAAAAATCGAAGAATAATTATCATGATCACTTCATGATCCACTTCTCTAAATTAAGAAAATGAATTCTTGTTTTTTGACCACCGATCATTATACACATGTATGTATAAAATAAAGAGCAAGTTTGAATAATTGTTTTTTTTGTAATTAGGCACGCGTACACCAGTATCAAGCACAAATCTCGAAGCTGCAACTAGAGAACGAGTCAATGAGGGGTCAGCTGCGTGGTTTGGAAGCTGCATGCGCTGGCGAAGTGCATGCTGCACTTGTGGCACGTCTGGCGACCTTGGAAACAGAACACGCCGCCTTGGCGCGCGACGCCGACGCTCAGCGTCGCCAGTACGAGCGGTGCCTGGACGACGTCGCCAACCAGGTGGTCCGCGCCCTTCTATCCCAAAAGGTTCATTGCTATGCTCTCGTTACCACTTCCTCTCTCTTCTTTCTCTCTTTCTCTCTCTCTCTTCAGAACTTTCCTTCACTTTTCTCACTCCTCTTTGATGTATAATTTTTGTGTCAATTTTAATTCGACAATAGGTATTCGCATGACAGCAGCTCCTATTTGTTGTTGAACCAAGATGTACTGAGATACTAGGATGATCTGAAAAGTTTTATTTATTGATATACATCGTCTTCTTTAGCTTGTTCTTAAATGATAAAATCATCTGTAAAACATTTGGGACAATAAACATATTTAAAAATATTTGCATAATGATAAAATGGTAGAATATTTTATCTAAGGAGGATATTTTTTGATGTTCGTTGAATAAGAACAGGTAGACTTTTCTGATCAGCCTGAACGCTAAAACCTCCACGATTAAAAATATGTTTCGTCTATGTTATGTAACTAGCTCCACATTCTGTACATTACTACAAATTTAGTGAGTAATAATGAAGTCCACAATTGAGTTCTCCCATCCGTGAGACTGATCCTTTCTAATCCATCCGCATCTGCTAAGCCGCAAGTCTTGCAAGTTTGCGAACCGGCATTTACGTATAGTCTTTGTACGCTGTAGTAAAAGAGCGCCATTAGTGTTCACATGAAAGTCCGTGTGAAGGAGAACTTCTTAAACTAACCATATAATGGTATAACGTGAGTTGGTCAGAGTAACATAAAAAGTTGTCAATTTATGAATTCATAAAAATCTCAAGAGTCAACTTAGAAATGAAAAGATTTATAAACTAAAAATTTAGACTCAAAAATGAAAAAAAGAATGAACAAAAAATTTCCAAGTTACTAAATCAAAAAATAGATCTGCAAATCTGAGAATGAAACAGTTTGAAAGTTAAAACTTAAAATCAATATTAGCCAGTCCATTTCCCACAGTCGTAAATTTACACGTTGCAAACGCTTGTCCATCGCAAACAGATCACGTTGTCAGCTTTTACGATCACAAATCCTGACTCTTCGTCTGCTATTGCGCTTTTCGTCGTTCGATTCGAGCCGAGCTCTATGGACAGAGTGTAATTATTGTTTGTACGGTACGCAGGGTCTCAGGGAAGAAATCGGTGCATTGCAGAGGCGTATTCGGGAGCTCGAGGCTCAAAATCGGGCGCTTTCAGGATTATTGGCACAGGCAGCGAGTCCTGGAAGTCCGACAGAGTTGATTCAAGGGATCCTAGAAGCTGGACCAGCAGCAGTGGTCGCTGCACTTGGTCTGGATCCAGCTTGGGTTCCTTTATCGAGGCCCCGTTCGCTTAATCTACAAATACCAGTGATGGCCGCTACCAAGTGTAGACGAAACAGACCTTTGGGTACGTTTCTTTTATTACATTTTATAGGAACCACAGAATCGCATACAACTTCAAATGCTATCTCAGCTTTTTAATACTTGCCATTCAATCACAAAAAATCCTTTTGATACTCTTGTTTCTAATAAATTTATCGCTATACACATATTTCCTCAATGAAGTACAGTATAGTACAAACGTATAATATAGCACAAGATATATTTATATATTTATCTCATTTGCATAAGAATATGAACATGAGAATATACCTGATTTCATTCAGACAAAAATGTAAAGCGTGACAATATAACGAGAGTGTACTATAAGTTTATTGTCTGCTATTAAAATGACAAATACTGAAATGAAATTCAGCTCAGAAACCATCGGAAGAGGAAGGTAGCGAGAGTCCAGAGAGCGGCAACAGGGATGAGGGTTACTCGACGATGTCCAGCGACGTCCAAGGAGAGGGTGCTAGACAGGAGCCATCCCGAGGGTTGGAGGATCTCAAAGAAGCGACCGACGAGACGGAGGCGGATGTTTCTCCGGATGCACGATTGGTCGCCCTTGACGCCGGCGATCCTGACGTTCTATTTTTGCCGTTGAATCTCACCGTAGGAATAAATCCACGTCACAGCTATCCACCGACCAAAGATTTGCTGCCGTATCAACACGTGATGCGTAGCTTCTCTGACAGTCACCTATGTCTCAAGTTGACCACAACGACCAATTTTACACCGTACAAACTGCCGAGCCCCATTGGATCCTCCTCTTTGCTACTCGTTGAAGAGGAGGGTTGGGACGCTGAATACGTACAACAATGGCTCAGGTTCGTTTCATACATTGTTTTATATATCAAATTCATATATTGTAGACATACATTGTAGACAGTTTTATAAATATCTCTCGCTAGGTCAAGTTTCATTTATTCATTGATGATTTCCTGATGTATCGCATTTTTATAAATGTAGTATTAAGTTAGGGAGTAATTTATATTTTATTTTTGTATCAGTAAAGACTACTCTGGTCTTTATGTTTCATATAAGAGACTGGTACATAACATTAATAAATTAAAATTTTGATTCGATGAAATCATGATTTGATTTTGATTTTATTAAGTCGATGTCAAATTTATTATTTGAAAAAAATTAAACAAAACAGAATATAACATACCAACAGAGTTAAATAAAGTTGAACAAAACAACAGAGTAACAATTTTATTTTATAAAAAACCTGATAGCGAAAAGTTTCCTGTAATTAAACATAAATCATTCCGTGTCTTATCGTAACATCGTAAAAACATTATGAAAGTATCTGTTTCGAAATAAATGGAGACCAATTAATCCTTGCACAATACATTTAATAAGGACAGGTGTAACAAAGCAGCCCATAGTTTGTATTTAAAATGCACAGTAACTTTGATCAATATCATTCGCGAGTTTGCGGAACAAAGAATGAGGGTAATTAATCGTGTTTAATTTAAAGCAAGGCACAATAGCGTCGAGGATTAAAGCGCGAGATAAATTTCAGGTTGGACGACAGCAGAAGTGCTCAACAACATCGAGATCTCCTCGAGTTGGAATACGACAGAGCAGAACTGGAAGATTGGAGTTTCTCGTTGTCCACCGAGGACCTTGTTCAAAATGAATCCACGGCATGGAAGGAACCTGCTACCGCCACGACCACCCCGGCTCTCCCGGCAATCAAGGAACATAATCCTCTAGAATTGGAGGAGGACGCGAACGAATGCTTATGGAATGGTGCCAGTTACCTAGCTGATAGAACCGGAGGCGAATTGGTACGGGAGTCGTTACGAAATGTAACACAATATCTCACGTCTTTTATTTTGTTTTTTATTGTACAGCTTGTTGCATATTAAATCGAGTTCGAAATATCGAAAGTTTCACTAGGTTTAGTAACATGAAAATAATTCATATACGAAAGCAATTTAGAACTTCAAGTTTAACGACTTCAACACTTCATTATTGTTTTGAACACAAAATGGCTGACATTCATAGCCAGCAATGATCGATTTCAAACACTATGAAGTCTGATACCCTTTCTTAACATAACTCTATTATAAAGTAATATATGTACTATGTCAAATTGACTATGACTATGTAAATCTGTTAACAATACCAAATTGTTATACGCTGTATTTTATATATGTAGTTTTACTATCAAAATGACATGAAACTTCTGATATTCAAAAATCAACCATTTAACAAAACAGCTAATTATTAACAAACAAGCTAACAATTTTTGCTTTCTGGTGTAGGTTGCCTTATTAATGGATGCTAGAGCAACAGGATCGTGGCCGTACGCGACAAGTCCAGGCGCCTCCTGGAGCAGCGAAGAAGGAGGCCAAGAGAATTCGAGCAAACGATCATCGGCAGCTTTGTCTGGCTGCAGCGACGATCCAGATTCTCCATCCGTCGGAACCGACTTTACCAGAGACTTCTACAGACTGGTAAAGTTCGAGAGTACAAAAAGCTTGGCCAGTACGTCATCCAGGAGCGGAAGACCTCCTCCAGACAGGGAGCAAGCTCTCCAAAGCGTATTGTCATTCATCGCTGAACAACAAATGTACCTTGCCGAACTGCCGAATAATCTTCTGGAACACAACCCGGCCCACACAACGGAAGGTTCGTTCCCTTAATTGTTGAACAGAGAACAAAGAACAGTTTAGAGCTGTTTACCGTGAAATTAATGGCAGTAAGATATCTCTGAAATGTAAATTGAAGTTTAATTTGATGCAAACAGTTGTAGAGGAAACTGAAAACAAAGACGAGCGTGGAACCGAGGCGATGTGCACCGAAATAGAAACATCCGTCGATCAAGATAACAGCAACACGGAGAACGTTGTTGAAACGAGCAGTAACGACGATCTGCTGGATCAGATACCTGTGCCGTCTTTAGCGCCAGAAGAGAGAATAATCAGCGCAGTGGCGTGTAACGGTGGTGTGTCCTACACCACGGTAGCACCCTCGGAATTGGGCGCCGTTCCTGAGGAAGACGAGGAAGCCGCCACTTCTTCTACACCGAGCACGGTTGTAGGTTTCATGAAATTGTACTCTGATTAACTATGATTTACTTAATGACAGCGATCCGAACTATAATATTTCAAAACTTAAATGTTGGTAGTTCTGTCTATAAGTTCTTACACTTTCAAGTTTCGAATTACCATGTTGCTGAATTTCTAAATTGCCAAATTCTTAACTTACCAAGATATCAAATTAGTAGGTCTACTAATATGCAAAACAGTACCTATAATATTTTTAAACTTATTATTATGCAAAAGAATATTGTATCTGTAACTATCTATAACCAAGCAGTGAAATTACAAAATTTGTCTGACCCACATCAGGTGAGTCCAGCAAGAGCGCCCCTGTTAGTCGAAGGCAGAGATCGATCGTTGAGTTTCCATGAGCGTGCGACATCGAAAGATGTGATAGACGAACTGAATCGAATGATCAGGAAGGGTGAAGAAAACACAGTCAGCCACGAAACCCAGGTGCCGCTAGAGAAATTGGATCTCGCTTGCTGCTGTCCAACAGGATGGGTTCACGTTGAACGAGACATTGACTTTACCGACCCAAAAGTTAGTAAAAAAACTGTACCTATCACCCCGGAGTTAAACTACGAATATTTAAATGATTCATATATTCTTCAGGCAAGAGCCAATCTTTTAGACGTGATGTTAGAAAGCAGCGAAAGTTCTTCGGCGACATCGAGCAGCGGATCAGCAGGAAGTGACTCTGGGGATGAACCACCGGATTACCGTCACTTGCACAGACTCCACCGATACCGACGACAAAAGAAAGGTATTTTTTAAGGGTCTTCAATTGAGCCTCTCTTCTTGTCCAGTCCTCTGCACATCACTATGAAATATACTTTCTCTCGACTAAAGAACTATACCTTCCGCTTAACACAACTATACGTGTTGCACGGAATGGATAAACAAATATATGTCGATCGTTTTTAAAATCTACGATCATTTCGAACTTTAACTTCTACCGTATCTTTCGTCATTGAAACACGTTCTTCTATCGATCTGTATCCAATTTCTATCGAGAATGCAGTATGAACGAATTGCTTTCGCTTATTATACTCGAATTAACATTACTAACAAACAATCGCCTAGATCACGCTAGTATACCCAACATACTGCGCGTAAAATGTTCACGGTGCTTGGTAGACTTTTTTAGGAAAAATTATGTTCCTGGATTTTTATGTCAAGTCCGTATAGTGGAAAGGCCTTATATTCCCTAGTTTCTTTGTCCTGGAATACTTGCAAGTTCCTATACCCCAAATTCTCGAAATTTCTAGATCTTGAATTCCCCAAATCTCGAATTCCTTTGATCTCGAATTCTCCAAATCTCGAATTCCTTAGATCTCGAATTCCCCAAATCTCGAATTCCCCCGATCTCGAATTCCTCTGATCTCGAATTCCCCAGATTTCGAATTCCCCAAATCTCGAATTCCCAAGATCTCGAATTCCCAAGATCTCGAATTCCCCAAATCTCGAATTCCTCTGATCTCGAATTCCCCAAATCTCGAAATTCCCAGATCTCGAATTCCTTAGATCTCGAATTCCTTAGATCTCGAATTCCCCAAATCTCGAATTCCCCAAATCTCGAATTCCCCAAATCTCGAATTCCCAAGATCTCGAAATCCCGAAATCTCGAATTCCCGAGATCTCAAAATCCCCAAATCTCGAATTCCCCTAGACACCCGAATTCCCAAGATCTCGAATTCCCCTAGACTCCGGAATTTCTAGATCTCAAAATCCCCACATTCTAAAATCCCTAGACTGCAGGATCTTAGATGTATGACCCTATATCCCCATATTCCTCGGTTCCTATATTAATAAGATAAGAATGTGTTAATCTGTAAATCCCTGAAATTTTGAAATTCCCAAGATAATCGGAGCATTATGTTGAAAGGTATATTAGCGAGAGTTCTATGGTAACACGTGAACACAACACGTTGTTAATCGGCTTCCGTTGATTAACATCGATCACTTGTACAGTCATAGAAACGGAACATGAACACGAAACGCTAGTAGCCCTCGCTGTACATAGCCTTTTCCACGTTTTCTGTTCAGATGGTAGCTCCTACGCGGTGTGCTTTGATTGTCACAAGAAAAGCTACGTAGTTCGGCTTAGTGACGATCAGTTTCTGTAATCGACATGCCAGTTGGGAGGAATCGTTTCGCCGGGACCTAGTTTGGGCCAGATCCAACGTGAACTGTACGGCTACAACGGATTTTCCATTGGCTTACTAACAGATATATTATTAACCAGAAGACGAACGAACGAATGAATTTCTGCCGAAGTCACCTTTACGCAATTCCAACTTTGAACTGAGAATCCGATTTTCGATCGAAAGATTAACACATTGCGAACGCATACGATTTATATTTTTATGTATTTTATTTTGTATTCAGCGCGGTCGAAAATATTTTAAAATGTAATTGTCCGTAGAAATTTGTCCGTAATGTGTTAATACATGTATGTTGTCTCCTTTTTTTTTATTTTTTTTAGTTGTAAAACAATGATCATTGTGATACGATTAGGCGTTCGTAGTCGAATACAAATGTTAAATGTTATTGTAGGTATTTCAAATTTTCATATGTAAAGGAGAAATTGTGTACATAAGTTTGTTAATGATATTTGTCAGATATAGCCGTTGTATCCGTTCAACGACGCGCCTGGAATTGCGTCAAGGATCACGTAACACAGTTACTTTCTCTCTCATTCTGAAGACAATTGGTACTTACGGAGTGTCATTGACAGGTACCCGACCGTCATCATTGTTGTTCATTCATCATTACTTCGTATCATTTTTCTATTACACATCTGACTAATAAGACTGCGGTAACATGAATCTCACAACAGTCATTATAGCTTTAAACATAATAACATACGTAGATACTCATTTTCATTTCACGGTACTTACGCATCTGTGTTACTCGTGACAGACAAACAGCTTTATGTCATATGTAAGCAACTGCAATTTTTAATGAAGACAAAATTATTTGATACTGCTGTAAGGTATGAGTTATTTCAAATTTTAAATTATTGTTCTTTTGGTTACTCAAACTTTATTAGAAATTTAGAAGTTTTTAATTGGCAAACTTTCAAATTCTTGAGGTTATAGACTTTCAAATTTTAAATTGGTAAAACGAAGTCTTGTAACGCGCTTCATCGCGCATGTGCAGCGAATGCAACATCAGTGAAGTAAACATTTAGATAAAAAAAATGTTCATTCTGTACGATCAAACTGTGCAGAGATCACACTATAATTCTCTAGAGTCTCTATAATTCTCTACTTGCACAAATATTTACATATTCATGAGTAGGTAATTAAGGTACATCTTTTTCTTCCAAACATTTACTTCACCGATCCACTTGTCGCGCAGGCGCGAAAACGCGTTGCATTCAAAACTTGTACCACAATGTTCTCTGCGTCAATGACACTTTCCAAACGCAATCTTAAAAGTCTGTCGGGCTCATGATCAAAGCTATCGAAGCTCCACAAAAAAAATAACAACAACAAGTCTGTTTGATTCTGTCACGAAGTCGTACGTCACACAAGGTCGCTTACCTGTCAATGAAGATTGTCTCGGGCAATCGGTATCACGAGAGAAAGGTAAACTGCCTAAGAGATCCCGTGACAAAAAAAGACGGCTAGAGTAAAATAGATGTAGAAATGGAGAGTGAAGGGAGAGAAAGAGAGAGGAACGTGGTACGTGTAAAAGAGTGCTAAGCCGAGCTACTCTGTGTCTGCTAGAGCCGGTATAGGAAGAGAAAGAAAAGAGATCAAGTGAGGTCTGAGGCATGTTGACCCGCTGCGCTTGGTTTCTCAGCATCGGCGGCCCAGGCACATCGTGTGCTGAGACTGCCGTCAACGTGGGGTTCATCGAGGCCGTCGATCATCGGACGTGGTGAAGATTTCTTCGTGCGATACGGAGACAAGGAACGAGAAGCTGTGGCCTCTTTCGACTTCCTTGACGAGATCGTGGCGCCTTCATCGACAGGTTCCAACGCCAGTCTCATCGATCTGGACGACACGCCATCTGCTGAGCTCCGCGGCGACATCATGAAGCTATCTCCGCTCTAGGACGAGGTTCGATCCAGGAGTCTATCGTGAAACTACTGTCGATAACTCGCTGATACCGGACTGTTCATCGAACGAACCTTGTATATATGCTTTGCTGCTGTTCAGGATTTCTGTTACATTGACTGTTTCGTTTTAACCCTCGTGCACCGTTTAATTGACCCGACATGAGAACTTGATGTCTATGTGAGACATCATTGATGTCTGTGAAGCTGAGTCTCATCAATTTTTGAAAAGCTAATCACACATTGACTATCGAATTCTCTATTCGCATTATATTTGCATATGTATAGGCTAGTTAAAGATTTTGCAATTCTGTGTCAAATAGATAACCCGTGCGAGAATAAATTTGCTTTCGCAAATCCCGTTAATCGTGATAATAAAGTTCATGAGTGTCACTAGTTTGATTAGTACACAACTAGCGTTGGCTATAAGTAGCTACCGTAACAAGAGAAGATAAATTCAGAAGTTAAATTTGAAAATTGACTAACCATATCGTTAATAAGTAGAGTTTCAATGTGATCAGCGTATGTCCATTTTTACTGTGGCAGATATTTGAGAAATCCTCGATGAAATGTGAGTAATAAAAATTTGAACGGTGCACAAGGGTTAGTTGCTGACAACATACGGAACTATGAAAATGAATTCATAAAAGGGAATAAGTTAACGGAGTGTATACTTGTAAAAATTAAGTCGAAGTTTGGTTTCTGTTGCATCGCGCATGCGTAATAGGGAAGTACAAATGCTATTTTTTGTACGGACGTATTTTATGGGTTTATCATAAAGGGTCAGTATAGTTTTAGTGTTATTGATAGCAGGATTTAATTTAATATTTATTTTTGTTGAATCCCCTTTGAAGAAGCTTTAAGTTTTTCTGTAGGTTGAAACATCGAGAAGATTTTGAACACCTTTAACAGAGTTTACTGTTGCTTGAAATTGCGATCTTTTGATAAAAAAGAAAAATGTTCCTGCACATAACAATTATGTAAATTAATGAAATAAGCGAAGAAACTTGTGTACGATATATTTGTTTGTCTATTTATGCTAAAGGTGGTACATCTTCTTTCCTTTACGTGCTTGCTGTTTGAATATTTCAATTTGTAAATAGACTATCGAACAATCGTTCATTATCCAGTTACGTCTTCAATACCATTAGAGTGTTTTTGTTCTCGATCTTTAGAAAAACCTCGGAGATGACTATTCAGACAAAACTGCTGGATATTGTTTTGTGCAGAACAGTGATGGGTAATTATTTCCGAACTAGAATATTTAGAAATTTAAAATTGTTATTCTAAATTGTTTAATTCTTAAATTCCTAAATCTATAAAATTAAAAATTTAATACTTCAAATTACTAAATCTGCCCATCACTGATCTAAGACAAAGTTATAATTATCGTTTGAGCTTCCTTCGAAATATTCAATGAATTCTTTCCAAAAAACAATAAACAAGAAACCACTGAAAGGACTTTGATTTCCAACAAGAACATAAAAACTAATTACTGTACTTGAAACATACTCTTGCTCACAAAATGAAGATAGACTTCTTACTTAGCGTATGCATAATGAATATTAATACTAAAGTAACTCGATGTAAAATGTGGTCTAAACACTTAGTGTATGTAATATGTACAATACATACAAAATTACTACGAACGGAAAATAGGAAAAGATAAACTGGAACTATGATTCGATTTACAAAATCGATACAAATCTCACGAAAGATAATATATCCATTTAACAATCTTAGTCGAAATCTTAACGTTCGACGAATGATCGCACACATCAAATTTCGAGATATCGAATGGACTTTAAGTTTTCCAATATTTCGATAGAAAAAAGACTTACAAGATCGATAGATAAAGAATTTCTACGATTTTCATCCAGAAACTTCTGATTTCGATTAGGCGCGCGATGTCGTGCACATTCTCCGAAACTGAGCTTAGAACGAAACACTAGATTAAGATGAATCGACGATTTTTTTTATGACCATGAATTTGTACCATTTAGCGAACAATCGTCGATAAACGTAACGTATTTCGTGTGAAACACGCATCACGTACGCTTCGAGGGAGCGTGCGATTTTTCGTCCCGTCTTCGATGAAAGAGCGTGCATGTTACGAACTGTGTAAAATAGAAATTGTTTGAACTTGGGAGCGTGTATAATTTCACGTGAACGCTCGACGTATGAGTGGTAGAGACAAAACGAAAGGAACTATAACGGAAGAATGATTAAACGTTGAATGGATCTAAACGCCGTACCAAGAAATAGATGTTTCGTCGTATTTGTACGAGGACGCACGTTCGAAGTTTAAACTCGCGTTTGGTCAAATTACTAGGAGATAATATCATTAGTTCGTATAACGTTTAAGATAACGAGTCGATAGAAATCGAAATATTTTACACGTAGATAATATAGATATATATATTAAACATGATGGATATTTTCAATATTTGAAACGAAGACTGTACGGATACAAAGTTGTCTGTTCCATCTGATTCTAATCATTTATCCTTCGTCCGTTAACCCATTAATTCCAGTAATGTTCTCAAGACATTTGTAAACGAAAATATGTGAAAACGTTTACAGAATATTTATTCTGTAGACTGAAGATAAGTGTCTGATCTAGCGATATCGCGTGCTTTATCGCCGACCCTGATGTCGAGAACGTAGAAAATTATTGGATAAAAGAGGCACTTAAGTTTGTTAATTTACTCATTCAATTTTTAAATAAAATAATTAAACAATTAATTACAAAAATTCATTGCTATATTTGTCAGTGCTAAACATCCGATCACGCGATATCGCGTTCACAGCCTTCAGTAGCTAAATATTGTGGCACACAGCAACAGAGCCGGTTCGTGATTTGACAACTAACTTAAATAAAGTATTTATTTATAATTGATACTCCGGGTATTAATGGGTTAAAACTAAATAAGATATGTAACATATTTACTTCTATTCAATAAGGAAACGTTTGTTTTAATCTGATTGTTTGCTACGATAAGTTATCAATTTGTATAACTGAACATTTGATAACTACAACGAAGTTCCGACGAAAAACAACTTTTATCCTACAGTCCGGAAATAATCATTTAAATGATAGCTCTAAGATACCTGTAAGTTGCATTATATTGAAAAATGCGATTACTGAAGCACTGATCCTCTCTGACCCAATCGAAAGGGAAGGAAAAGTATAATACTAAATCCATCGATGACCGTGAATGATTGGGGCATTGTAAATAGAATGTATTATAGCACAACAGATGTAAGTTATCCTCTCTTGAACTTAATAAATAACGACAATATAACGAATGTAAAGGCGCATACTCGATGTTCAATCTAGAAAACCGTTCCTACAAAGACATTAATTAATACATATATATACGTACGTATGGTATCAATCCACATGATCGTATTGTCCATTAAGATACAATAAGTATTTCAATAAATAATTACAAATAATTTAATTATATCAATGTTTCAATTGCATGTAAATAGCTGTGATAAATACACATTCGATTACTTAATTAAGATCTAACTAATGGGAACATGATATCATCAAATTTTATATAAAACGGGAAAAAATATAGTTATTAGATATACTATAACGAAATGTTTCTTCTTCTTCTTTTTTTTTACAGGTCAATGACACACAGAAATTTGGGTAAAATAGAATTTATTAAAATGAAAATATATTATTCGATATTACTCTTTGAAAAGTAATAGTGAATATGTGCTGTACAAAGAATAGTATGAATTATATATTTTATAAAAGCGTCGTGTAATACTTATCAAAATATTATAAAAATACGTTCCTATAACATTCATCGTATTATACATAATACATTGTGATTGAAATTTTTAAATATTACAATAGTTTATAACCCTTTTGATTTGTCTCGATTATAAATTGTATTTTTCTTTATTTTTACAAACTTTGAAATATTTCGATCCGATAATGATAATAAAAATTGTGTACACAAACAAAAAATGGTAAGTTGTTATGATCAAATAAAAAGTATATTATCAAGCCTCTAGAAATAAATATTTTGCACCGGTTTATCACTATTATTACTGTTGTTCCGACGACATACGTAATATACCCAATTTCACAGAAATATATCAAAACTAAAAAAGAATCATTTTACACAACACGTTTACGTGTTTCAATCTTGCACACCAAAAGGTACAAATTACAAACAAAACTGATACACAAAAATGTAAAACAGATACTTTCAGGATCTAGAATTTGCTCTCCTATAAAATGTATTAAAAAACTGTGTAAATTTGTTTTGATAGTAACAATAACCTCTATTCGAATATTACAATCGAATCATTTAATGATAGTGTTATCAATTATATTACTTTTTATGCAAAATGTACTTTCTTTAATGCTTCTTAATGCTCTCACACCCTGTAACCTCTACGCTCAGCGTTCCTGATGGAATTCGCAAGGCAAAGTGCGAAAATGATGCCGATTAACTAGAACACAAAAATGAGACGTGTTAAATATCCGTTCTATGTACTCATATATAAATTTCAAAAAATTCTCTAATTTCCAAGTCTTCCAATACAAATTTCCCATAAATGAAGCAATAATGAACTAATAAACTTACTTCAACCGCGGCAATACCAATAGCAACAGCACCCAACAAGGTTCCTGCTACTTGAATTGCGTTTTTCAATTGTTCTGCACAACCCACATCATACGACTCGTTTGCTTCACAAACTTCTCCTTCCTTTTTGCCGCAACAACTCCAGGGAATTTTGCCAGTGAAATTACCGTGGGCATTGAAATCCCACTTAGATTTGACACCACAACATTGGAACTACAAAAGAAAATTACGTGGCAATGAGATCATCTTTTATTCGGACTGTGTCAGTGGATATCAACTATATACTTACACCAGACTGAACAATATTCACTGCTTCTTCAACTTCGGGTTTGTTAGGGTATTCCTGGAATAGCTCATCGTAAGTACGTTCGATGTCGTCGCTGGATACAGGCTTAATGATCACGAAGGCATACACTGCGACTGCTACTTGAAGCAGCAAGATGAGCATTAGCATCGAGGCAAACTAAAAAGAAAATGGAATATGTTATGATATATATTAACATGGTGAAACATTACCTTGCAAATATTTATGTATTAGATATACAAATATACGAATAGAAGTATCACTTAAAGACTCAAAATTAAATCTCCTGATTTTTAAATTTTCCGAAATGTACTTACGGTAACAATCATGCAGTGGCTGCTGCGAATGGCGCCACAGCATCCGAAGAACGATATCACAAATATTATGCTACCAACGACCATCAAAGATATCGATGGGAACATAACGTTGATGTCAAGCCGTTCGGTGACATCTGATAGGTTTAGGTGCACAACGATACCAACGGCTAGGATACCCAACCCGCATACCTGTAACAGATAATTTTAGTTATTATGACTTTGCACAATTCAACCATTCAATGAGTCATTACTAATGGCGTTTAAATGATACCACTTTTAAATGACATTTAAATTACATGATATCATGTTTGGGCGACAATACAAACTTTCTAACTTTCGTGCGTAAAACTTGTAACTATAACTCTTGTCTAAAACTTGAATATATAACTCTTGTCTAAAACTTGTTACTTTGTAACTTTCATCTAAAACATTTGTGTCACCAATATTTTCAAAAACAAGTGGATGTAACCCTAGACATTCAATGACCACGTGTCTTTCAGGCTAAACTATAAAAATAAATAAATAATGAATACTAATTCATATAATTCTCCATGAAGATCATTTTGATAAAGGCTTAATTTAAGTTAAACCAAAGATCAGATAAACCTAACGTTGAACGAGACACCCTGTATAAAGTGCATAAGAGAAAGAGTCCCGTAAACTATAATGGCGGAGCTAACGCAAGAAGAGTCTGAGCAACGTAGACACTCCTTTTCCTGTAGTTCCTCTCAGCTAACAATAAGGGTAATCGAGGTTGCATCCGAGTGTATGTACACATACTCGACACGCGATTCAGGATCATTCCTATCGTCGAGTATTTACATAGACAATAACCGAAGGCTGAGACTTGCTCCATCGATAGCAGCCACTTATTACATCACATTGCACAATATTAACCGGTTGGCATTGAACATTCTGTACACGGTACACAACGATTGCGAGTGTCCGTAGTTGAATTTAGGTCAGGTTCCAGGTGCGACAGCTCCAGGTGGTTCAACGCACCGTTAAACCTTTTCAGTGGGAGAAATATATGAGAAATGGGATTTGGGAGATTTGGGATTTGGGAGATTTGGGATTTGGGAGATTTGGGATTTGGGAGATTTGGGATTTGGGAGATTTGGGATTTGGGAGATTTGGGATTTGGGAGATTTGGGATTTGGGAGATTTGGGATTTGGGAGATTTGGGATTTGGGAGATTTGGGATTTGGGAGATTTGGGATTTGGGAGATTTGGGATTTGGGAGATTTGGGATTTGGGAGATTTGGGATTTGGGAGATTTGGGATTTGGGAGATTTGGGATTTGGGAGATTTGGGATTTGGGAGATTTGGGATTTGGGAGATTTGGGATTTGGGAGATTTGGGATTTGGGAGATTTGGGATTTGGGAGATTTGGGATTTGGGAGATTTGGGATTTGGGAGATTTGGGATTTGGGAGATTTGGGATTTGGGAGATTTGGGATTTGGGAGATTTGGGATTTGGGAGATTTGGGATTTGGGAGATTTGGGATTTGGGAGATTTGGGATTTGGGAGATTTGGGATTTGGGAGATTTGGGATTTGGGAGATTTGGGATTTGGGAGATTTGGGATTTGGGAGATTTGGGATTTGGGAGATTTGGGATTTGGGAGATTTGGGATTTGGGAGATTTGGGATTTGGGAGATTTGGGATTTGGGAGATTTGGGATTTGGGAGATTTGGGATTTGGGAGATTTGGGATTTGGGAGATTTGGGATTTGGGAGATTTGGGATTTGGGAGATTTGGGATTTGGGAGATTTGGGATTTGGGAGATTTGGGATTTGGGAGATTTGGGATTTGGGAGATTTGGGATTTGGGAGATTTGGGATTTGGGAGATTTGGGATTTGGGAGATTTGGGATTTGGGAGATTTGGGATTTGGGAGATTTGGGATTTGGGAGATTTGGGATTTGGGAGATTTGGGATTTGGGAGATTTGGGATTTGGGAGATTTGGGATTTGGGAGATTTGGGATTTGGGAGATTTGGGATTTGGGAGATTTGGGATTTGGGAGATTTGGGATTTGGGAGATTTGGGATTTGGGAGATTTGGGATTTGGGAGATTTGGGATTTGGGAGATTTGGGATTTGGGAGATTTGGGATTTGGGAGATTTGGGATTTGGGAGATTTGGGATTTGGGAGATTTGGGATTTGGGAGATTTGGGATTTGGAAGATTTGGGAATTCGGGAATTCGGGAATTTGGAAATTTAGGAATTTGCGATCTTGAAAATTTGAAACTTTGAGAATCTAAGAATATTACTCTTAACCAATACTATATTACTCCCCCAACATTACAAACTTTTGCAAATTAAAAAGTACACTCCAGCTAAAGATTGCATATCATATCAACCTGCGATACAGTAAATTCTTACATAAGCTCGATAACAGTTAATATCAATTTTGATTCGATAGTATCAAAATACTGAAGAAATTATCTACGAGCCACATAGATATTGTTCTATATTAACAACGAGATACTTTGTTAACAAAACGATTAAATTCGTAATTCTCTGACTTTGTCATGTGCTTTACAAAAATCTATTTTCTATGTCATATCTTGACTCTAGTTCTAAAATAGACTCGATTATGTTAGCTCATGAAACTTTCAAATTCCTTTGTAGGTACCGCAGCGATACGATCACCTATTAAGCTCTATCGGGAAATCTTGTAATTGTTAAAATATTGAACATTTTCACGTGTTATCTAGAGGGAGTTTTCGCGTGAACTCGAAGTGAGTCATCGATAAAGGCAAATCAATAACGATGTTATCTATTTCGTATTTCAGCATTTCGTGTAACATATGGGTGAACTTATTCGTTTTCCACGTAATAGGACGTTGCAAAAATTGTAATGTAATGATTGCACGAAAATACTTTTACCGATAATGATATAATACTTTTATCAATGAACTCTTGATAATATAAGACTTTGATGTGTAAACGTAGCATTTATTGAAAACATGTTCTATAAAAATATTCTTGTGATATAGCAAAATGGGGAATAGTAAAAAAGTATATAGTAAAATAATGAATTAAGGTGATTATGTAAAATAATATAAGTGAAATAATATAATTAAAAGTGAAATAAAATAATATAAGTAAAATAATATAAATGATTAGTAAAATAATAAAATAGTATGATAGTAAAATGATTGTATAGTGAATATAGTGTATAGTGAAGTACTAATACAGTAAAATTATTAAACAGTAAAATATTACAGCAGTAAAATGATGATACAGTAAAATAATTATATAACAAAATAATGACAGAAAAATAATTATATAGTAAAATAATAAAACAGTAAAATTATACAGTAAAATAGTAAAATTGTATAACAAAATAATAAAATAAAATGATTATAAAAAAAATAATAAAATAAAATAATGCATTTGTCCTAAGAACCAGAAATATTTCTTGTGCGTTTCACGAGATGAAATTGACCAGAATGACTCAATAAAGAAAACCTAACCAAAGAATACGACAATAAAGGTTTACTGAAGCGTAATTGTAGAGCAATAGCAGTATGGCCTATCCTTGACACTTTATGAATATGTTTTAGACGTGGCTTACCCAGGCTGAAAATTATCATGATCGATGCTGAGAGTCTCACACGTGCGAAGACTCTATTGTGCTCCATTTTAGAGCACATCGTGAATTTATCATTAAAAATCTATTGCCAACTATAGTTCCATAGCTTTACGAATTTTAAATCGGTACTCCTTACCTACTTGTTTTCTAATCGATTCTCTATGTAGGTAAACTGCATTCTACAAATACTTTTTAAAGAGACTAGAAATTATTGCTAGCAGGTTCAAAGATGAATGAAACATAACTAATTAGATAATTAGATTAGAAGGACATTTCTTAATATGAAGGAATGAAATTCGCGATTATATGAATCGTTCGATATTTTTCCTGGTACTTTCGATACAAGTATTTATATCGTCACGATCGAAAATATCTTTTAGATAATAAAGGCAGTGACGTAACTAGGTTTCTTGCAGACAGACAGTTTTATTAGAAATGTCGAGGATCTAGAAATCTGCGAGGTTGAAGATGTTGTGAGTTCCCAGAGTTCTGAACTTCCGAATCAAAATTGGAAATTTGCTGGTTTGAAGATTTGACATTTAGAATTTTTAATGTTGAAAATTTTGAAAGATGAGAATTTTTGAACTTAAGAATTTCTAAGATTGAGAATTTCTAATTCTGAAAATTTCTGCTCTTGAGAATTTCTAAATCTGAGGATTTCTACTCTTGAGAATTTCTAAATCTGAGAATTTCTACTCTTGAGAATTTCTAGATCTGGGGATTTGTACTCTTGAGAATTTCTATATCTCGGAATTTCTATATCTCAGAATTTCCACTCTTAAGAATTTCTATATCTCAGAATTTCTAAATCTAAGGATTTCCACTCTTGAGAATTTCTACCCTTTCAAATTTCTAACACTGAGAGTTTCTAAATCTGAGAATTTCTACTCTTGAGAATTTTTAGATCTGAGGATTTCTACTCTTGAGAATTTCTATATCTCAGAATTTCCACTCTTGAGAATTTCTATATCTCAGAATTTCTAAATCTGAGGATTTCCACTCTTGACAATTTCTACCCCTTCAAATTTCTAACACTGAGAATCTCTACTCTTGAAAATTTCCAACACTGAGAATTTCTGAATCCTCAGATTTCTAATCTTTCGAATTTCTAAAATTAAGAATTCCCAAACTTGAGAACTTATACCCTTCAAAATGTTCACCCTTGAGAATTTCCAAGCTCAACAACTTCCAATCTCCAAAATTTCCAAATTTCTCAATTAAAAAATTTGAAAGTACATTAAATGAACACCTAAAACGGAAAAACGAGAACTTTTGTTTCAGTAAATTAAACAAGGAAAATCTTATCTTATTGCGATAAGCTCACAGATATGACTCCGAAGAATCAAAAGGTGTAATATCGTTTGCAGCCATTGCGACAGTGTTTGAATTTTCATGGAAACACGGTCGAGTCATTTAGGTGTCCTCCATTTTGATCCAACGATCGTCTGCAGGACTGAAAAGGAAGAAGAAATATTCAACCGTCCACGGCCTTTTGTTCAGCGACGCCTTTCAAGGATTCTTCTTCAACGTTTCCGTAGCAGGGGAACAGGTTCTGCTGCCCTCTAGCAATAACAGATTCTCCTTTTC